GATGGCTTGATTTTGAGGGGCACCAATGTGGTATGGGGCTCATAAGCCAAATTTTTGCCTGGAGTAAAGTTGAACTGCCAATATATCACATAGCAGTGCGCTCGAGTTTTGAACTGATCTTAGACAAACTCTTAATTACAACAGTACCACAGGGCAATGCTCTAGTAAAGCAGAACTGTAGCAACCTTCACTCAGACATTGATCCCCCTGACAGAGGCTGGTGCATCTACAGGGGGTGACCTAAAAGAATTTCTACTTCCTTCCCATCTGGGGTTAATGGGGACAAATCTGAACTTTACACATGGGTTAGGAAATGCCTGAGACAGAAAGAGTTCAGAATCAGAGAGGGCAGGGTATGTGTTTTGAACATGGAAGATGAAACTTTATTGGATAGGTCAGATTTAGGGTGGATAAGGGGAGACATGAGCTAAAGGGAAGTTAGCTTAATGTGGGCAAGGACTATGGACTGATTTTTTAAAATGAATTCAAGACTCTTGCCCGGAGAAGGCCCATCTATGGAATTTAGGAAACCAAAGCCAAAATGCTGAATGTTATTCAATGCGGTATCTATTTGTACCCTGAAATCCTCGCCCTTGAGTAAAGTCTATCTGTGTACTCCAACCAACCTGTGTGGAATGGGCTGGGTGAACAGACACGGAGGACAGTGCAGGGAGATGGAGGATAAAGGGAGAAGTCATAAGGAGACGTGGTTAAAAAAGTGGGAGGTCAAGCTCAACAGCTAGGGTTCAAGGTGACCACTTCCTGGCAGTGTGACCCTGAGCAAGTTTATTTTCCTCACCTGTAAGATGGGGATGAAAAGAGAATTTAACCCCTCAGGTTAAATTCAGAAAAATCAGATGAGATGATACACATGAAGCACAGTACCTGAATTTCATCATGGCCACAAAGAAAGAGGAAAGGCTCACCCCACTAACAGACACATACACAGGAACACACACAGAAGAATTTCCGAATAAAGTTTTACAGGGTCAGAGATAATAAATCTGGATCACATCAGTTCCCCTGAAGGTGTGGAGGGGACTGTACCTGTGCTAACGAGATCATGAGAAATAACGAAAGAAGTTTGCTACAGTGCAAACGGATAGCCCCACACGTAATGTCTCCAAGGGTCCAACGGGGAGGCTACCTAGGGCATTTTGAAGAGGTTTAAAGATGTTCTTTAAAAACTCCTCATTATTTTCACGACAGTTTTTTAATCTCTAGAAAATGCCTAGAGTTTTAACTGAGTCCCAGTTGGAGACTTCCACGGTGCCAAATGACACGCAAGGTCTGACCAAGAACACTCTCACTGCATGGACCTTGAAAATGAATGTACTGTGCTGGCTAGAAAGCCAGGTAGAAATTAATATCAAGAAGGAAAAAAAATGCCAGAGGCAACACCAGCACACTATGGGATCAGAAGCAACTGTAGAAAAGGAAAATGAAGCCCAGTGCCGCATGGGTGATCCGGGAGCATGTTGAGTGTGAGACATGGTGTGGAACAAAAAAGACAAATCTTAAAAATGACTAGAAAATGAGCATTATCTCAATGAGAAAAGAAATAAAACAAAAGAATATGTTTTTCTTAAAAAATAGCTTTCAGGGGTGCCTGGGTGGCTCAGTCATTAAGCGTCTGCTTTCAGCTCGGGTCATGATCCCAGGGTCCAGGGATCGAGCCCCACATTGGGCTCCCTGCTCCGCGGGAAGCCTGCTTCTCCCTCTCCCACTCCCCCTGCTTGTGTTCCCTCTCTCGCTGTGTCTCTCTCTGTCAAATAAGAAAATAAAAAATCTTTAAAAAAAATAGCTTTCATAGACCATAGGCCTTGGAGAGAAAAGAAAATGAAGAACATTCAGTCAAGAATGGGGCAGAATGAGAGGAGGAGGAACTTAGGAAAACAGGTCCAACTGCTGTAACCCTGAGCCACAGCAGACAAGATGATCTGGGAGAATGAATGATACCATGGCGGCAGTCACCAGCAGCGGTCAGATTCAAGAGAGATCTAAACAGCCATCAGTACTCTCATCATTTCAGGCGAAGTTGCACAACTCTCAGTAGGACAGCCCGAGGGAGGTGTGCCCGGAACTTGGAAAAGAGAAAATGAAGTACACTACTATGAAAAAAAATCCGTTCAAAAGGCAGACGGACAGACACGGCTAAGGAAAGAAGGCGCTTAAAGGAACAGACTCGTTCTCCATTCAACGTGAGAAAGATATGCTCCTAGGAGCACCGGTGGAACAGGGCCTGGGCGCTGGGCCAGTGCCCCGTTTAGTGGTATAGCCAGTCACGTGGGTAACATCGTCACTGTCATGCTTTGGGGGGAGGGCGCCACAGCAGCCTGTCTTAGCTGGAAACCTTTTAAATATTCAGGCACATAACTCACCAGCAACCGTCAGCCCATAATTGGGCCGGCCCATGCAGATTGGCACAAAGGGAGAGAATGCACGGTGTAAGTCAGCATGTGCCTTCCAACTGGACGGAGGCTGTATTTATCTTTCAAATGACCCAGCTGTTATTACGATATTATACAATGGTCCCATCAGTTTGGATAATGTGAAATCATCCGTGTGAGGTGGGCTTTCTTTGATGTGCTGAACCTATATTTCTCAGCCTATTACACTTGAAAATAAGGCCCTGGGCCCCAGTAAATTCACCAAAATAGTAAAAACCACCCGGTTGCAGGGACATGAGAAGTGCCCTGTGTAGTAGCTAATTCTGCTTCTTTAAGTGATAACCTCTCGCAGCACCATTGGTCCTGAGCGCCTTCCTTCTTGAAATGAGACAGGTGCGGAGTCAGAATTAAAGCATATGTGCGCAGACACACACAACAGAAGCACCATAGGGAGACAAGAATTGGGTAGAAGGCCAGGGGTTAAGAAGAATTATTTTTAATTTATGAGTTTAAGAAAGTACAAACACTCAGAAGCAATTATTTCCTACTGGAATTACTGCAACTACAGCCAAACACAGAAATTAATGTGCATCTGTGGATAATTCACATTTATTGAAATAAACCAGGCACCCTAGTCTGAGAACAGACTTCCCACGAGGATCAATGGGGCACGAATACATCCTAGCCCACCCCCCAACACACACACAAGTAACATAAAACTTGAGAACTATTACATAAAAAGACAACAATTTGAATATAATGTCATATGTAATTTATGAAAAAGTTCTTGCTAAAAGCTGTATGCAAAGCTTAGGGAGGTGACAGAGGGAGGGCTATGTGAAAAACATGCCAACAGGATTCTAGAAAGCAGGTGGGGACTGACATGGCTCACAGGGGCAGCGACATCATGTTCTCTACAATACTAGTTGCATTTCCTCCTCCTTTCTGGTTGCCGATTAAATTTTGAGTCTTTTCCTTTTGAAAAATACTTTGGTGTTTTCTTTCTTCACATCCTGGATTTACTCGTTCCTTTTTGTCACTATGCAGATTTTTCCTGCTCCCTTTCACAAATGACTCCTAGACCTTCTCAACATCCTTTCAGATGGCCTCTTAACTCAATGACAGTTTATGGAAGAAGCCATGTGATGCCTGGGAGTAAGGGGGCAGGCAGGGAACGTGGGTGAGACAAGACTGGCCGCGAGTTGGTCCCTGTGGAGCTGGGAAAGGGGCACACAGGAGTTGATGGTTCTATGTTTGAAATATTCCATTATGAAAAAAATTTTTTAAATAAAACCTCCATTATTGTTATACTGTGTACCTTCTGACAATGATTTTCTGCTGATGGGCACAGACATTAGGCTGAAGTCAGAAGACATACGGTCTTTATTGGCTTGCTGGTAAATAAAACCTAATCCACAATTCCAAATAGCATTTTGAGATATCTCACCTAAAGACAGGTACAATGAGACCAGGCCCTTTCTTCTTTGGAGGGGCAGGGGGGAGAAAGAGAACGCACATGTGCACTGGGGAGGGGGGCAGAGAGTGAGGATCTTAAGCAGGCTCCACACCCAGCATGGAGCATGACACAGGGCTCGATCTCACGACCCTAAGATCATGACCTGAGCCAAAATCAAGAGTCTGACACTTAACCGACTGAGCTACCCCGGCAAGGCCAGGCCCCTTTCTAAATACCCTCCCTTATATTATCATGTCAACAAACAGCAACCATTTAGGTGACTATAGTTATTCTTATTTAAAGTTTAGCTATAAGCTTCTTGATGGTCAAAGTAAAAAGAGAACTCTATAGTGAGCAATACAATTCACATTCTAATAAAAGGAAGCAACAAATAGATTTTTTCCTGACACTAAATTCTAATGTCTAAATGAAGTTTTAAATTACAGTGCAAAGAACACTAAACAGCATAATGGACAATGTCTTTAACATGGCTTCACAGACGCAGTGTTCCTCACATGACCAGTCCTGAGTCAATTCTTCCTAAATACCAAAGGCTTTCTTTCACACTTGCATCAGTGAGGCAAAGTGAGTCTGCTGGGATCTCCAGGACAGTCAGATACAAAACTCTTTGGTAGTGACTACCAAAGTTAGAATCAGGGATACACCTGATTTCTTGAGTAAACAGAAATACATCTGTATTTCTTGAATAGACTTCTCTAGGGCTTTTGGCAGTGGCCTAACATAAGTCAGTTGAGTATTACACTTTCTGGTGGGGATCCATATTATAAATTACAGAAAGGGTCATATGCTTTGGATTTGGGCATGTAGATTTCAAGCTGACCTTCAAGTTATATACATATACATATCATTTATATGGATTTGCATACTATTAAACTTTCTCACCATGACAACTAAAATGAAAAGCTTCATGGATTAGTAGTCAGGACATACAAATCCCAGTTCTATTTTCACTAGTTTCTATAGTCTTGGATATGTAACTAACTTTTCTGAGTCTTGTTTCTTCACCTAAAAACTAGGTTATTTAATTAAATATTTCAGTTACTTTGAGGTACTAATATGACATGCTTCTTGAATTCCTCTAATCTTCATGAATGTGAATCAATCTATCATTTAGCCTATGAAATTTATCTCACCAGGATTATATCTGGATAATCGCCGTTGCTAGTTTCAACTTCAATCAAAGCCTGGCATTCCTGCACAAGGTTTTGACTCTGCTTCCTATTCATTTCCCAAGAAGAGGCCTATGGCAAGATATTAACAGAAAATATACAAGGGTTAGGAGCAATCACTGGTACACATTAAACCACATTTATTCAGCCTCTATTCAGTTCTGTACACAAGCAAACTTCTGTAGGATAAACAGGAAATTCAATTTCTGATCTTTGCCCTCAAGAAGCATATTATTTAGATAAGCACTTGCAAAAGTTAAGGAACAATACACAACAATAAAATAAGAGTATCATAAGGCAAATTAGGTGTGAAACGAGTGCTTCAGACCATGGGCCTCACCAGTGAATCAAAGGGCTGGTAGTATTTTGCAAATGATCTCCATGAATTACTGCCCATACACTGAATAAATAACATCTCATATGGATATACACATTGCTCTTAAAATTTATGTAGATGTTGCTGTGAGGACATAAGATATTCATTCATTTCAAAATATCTATGATGGCTTTCTCTTACATAGTTCTTAATCAATAGATTCCAGGCATGCCTAGTATTATGTGAGATGTCTGTGTCATTTTTTAAAAAGATGTCCTCATACTTGAAAAGATGGGAAACAGCGGTATGAAAAATGTATGATGCAGGCAAAGGTCTCCTTTGATTGGAATGGCTACCAGTAGACTCTCAGCTTCTCAGGAGCAAGAGCTATGTCAATCTCTGAGTCCTCAGCACCTGGCCCAGCATAAATGCTTAGTATATGTGTGTTCAGTGGAATGAATTAACAAAGGACACTGAGAGAAAATTAAAGGGAATTAAAAGCTGCAGATGTAGGAAACAATAAGAATATTATTTTTACTGGGAGCCCTGCTTTCAGGAGATGGGGGGAAAGTTTTTGAGGATAAAGAAAGCGGAACCTTCTGAGAAACACAAGGGTGTGATAAAAACAATTCTCTAGGAAGAATAATTAATTAATTACCTGTGTTAATAAAGCTAAACTGTGGTACATTTAAGTTAAAACATTAGCTAATTACCAGAGCCATTGTTTTGGTTTTTTTTTAAGACTGTATATTTAAGAATTTTATTTATTTATTTTTCTTTTTATTAACATATAATGTATGATTTGTTTCAGGGGTACAGGTCTGTGATTCATCAGTCTTACACAATTCACAGCATCCAGAACCATTGTTTTCAAGCTTTTGGAACACATTATAAGACTGACTCGGGCATATCTGCCTTCCTAATTCCATCTACTTAGGCTATGTTAAAATTAGTAACACTTCCCAGGCCTCCTCTGGTAGTGGTAATGCCCAGTGTGCTTACTGGACAGAATATTAGAAATTTACTGCAAATAATCCTCAAGTAATTGAAAGTTGTTTCAATTGCAGTTTAAAACTTGGTTAAATTCATTTTTCAAATGTTCGGGAATTCCAGAGTCTCCTGATCTATCTGCCCCAATTCTAGATTTTTGTACAGAACATCTTCTGAAGTGAAATTATCTTGTTTTTCCAAGAGTTGACATACAACCTGTCTCCATGTCTTCACCTTCCACTTGCTAGTCAGTCCATTCTAATCTGGTTTCTACCCCCTTCACTCCAACAAAAACAATAAAATTCTTCCTAAGATCATCCCTCTTACCTCTAAGTCATTAAGTAAACGGACTTTTTTAGGCCTTTCAATAGAATCTAGCCTCTCTGACTAACTCTCCTTGAACTGACATTTCCCCCTCTTGGCTTTAATGAGGAAACAAACACTCGGTTTGCCCTCTTCCTGCCCGGTCAGTCCTTCACCATCACCGGGGCACCCTGACCCCGACAGCTAGCCATTAAGATGGTAAAATCCCTCAGGCTTCTGTCCAGTCTTTCTTCTCTTCTTACCCTAACTCCTCACTTGGCATGTCCTCTTCGAGGTGTCAAACTATGGAAAGTGATCTCCCCCCCCACAGACCCAGCCACCTTCTAGGAGGCTCCATTTCAAAGAATGGAACCACCATCCAACCAGGTGCAAGAGCCAGAAATTCTGTAGTCCTTGCCATTTCCCTGTGCTTCACCTTCTATACCCAATACATTGCCGACACAGGTCAGTGTCTCCTCCTCAAGACAAACACACAAGTAACAAATGCACCCACTCCTCTCTGCTTGGCCGCCATCACCCCAGCCCCATTGGCCAGTGTTTCCCCAGGAGACCACTGTTAACAGCCCCCTGACTGCTCTGCCTGCATTCACAGCAGGCATCCATACTCAGCCAACAGTCTTTTCTAAATGAAGATCTGATCACACCACTTCCTTTCAACGGTGTCCCACTGCTTTTAGGATAAATGCAAAACCCCTTGTCAAAGCCTATAGGACCTGCATGGTTCTGGGCACTCCCTACGCACCTCACACCATAGCCCCTTTCCATCTCTCTGCCCTGCCAGAGCTTCCTTGTCTTCTTAAGGTACTCTGAATTCACCAGCATCCTTCTTTAGCACATGTCTGCATTGTCTGGAAATGCTCTTCCTCTCTTTTACCCATTTAATTGGAATTCAATCCTAAAAAATTCAGTCATCGCTTTTTCAGGATTTTTCATCACTTTTTCCCATTCAGTCCTCCCAGGAAGGGTCAAATCCCCTATTATAAGTACTCATGCTACTAAGTCATTAAAAACTGCCACAGTAGCAGTTTACATTTGTCTAATTATTGGATTGTCTGTCTCTGTGGAAGTTTAATGCAAGTAGGGACTCTATGTGGGTTTGCTTACAGTTAAATCCCCGTAGTTGGCTAGCATACTGAGTGGCACATAATAGATGATTTTATACACACACACACACACACACACACACACCCCACACACACTAAGTGAATCTTCATAAAGTCTAAAATGTGTTATTTTAACACCTGGGCACACTTCAACTTCTCAATCACTTCTATGTTTTCAGAGCATACAACCTACTCATAAAATATGTCAACAAATCCCAAATCTTGAAATTGCCCAGTTAATGAGTGGAAATCAGGCTTAAAGGAGATATGACTCTAAAATGATATAACTACCTTTTATATTATATACATGCAGTACTTTAGACACAGCAAAGGTTAAATAAATATCTTCTGAATATATGAACTTATATGTATATAATTCAAAGTAATTATGACAAATAATTCTGTCGATTGTAGACAGTTTTTTTCTATAGTCTTGAAGAAAGATTTAGGGCCCAAACTTCAAAATTACAGGGAACTGAACTTCAAATATTTTAAGAGACTGAGCTACTCAAAAATAGAATGAGAAAGGTTACCTTAGGAGGTAATAAGTTTTTGTCACTAAAGATTTTCTAGAAGAGTCTATACACCATTTGCCAAAAATTTTACAAAAGAACACGTGAGATATTTCTGCAGTGTAACAATTGTTCAGAATAATTCCTTTTGAAAGAACCATGCCTAAAATATCTTGTCTTCCACAATGCTTAACACAGTAACTTTACATAGGGCAAAGTTCTGTAGATATTTGCTGATCAAATTAGTTTACTGCTTTCAGAGCCTATGGCAATTAATTTGAATATTTTCTCTGGTGGTCAATCTTTACCCTTTAAGGGTAAATTTCATTTGGGGAAAAAGTAAAAAGGCATTAGAAATCAAATTTGATGAACAAGGCAGATAAACTAGGCAATGCATTTCAGCTTATACAAGATTTTAAATGGTGGTGAGATATTGTCTGTTATCACCTACCACTGAATCTGGCACAGAGTAAATGACCACTGAACTGCAGGTTTTCTTATTATTATATGCTAAATCTGAGAGCAAGTGCTCAAAAAGGAATAAAATAAGAATAATATTGTAAGAATGAAAGTGCAGTGATTCTTTTAAAAGAAAAACTCATTTGGAAATTGTGGGGTGGTACATTCATTAAAATCAGTCTCACCACTTAACTGTATTACCAAGATTATATCCCATTTTCCCTGCACTACAGGGGTAAGTACCTATTGTAAAATCTGGCTAAGCATTTTTTCTATAAAGTGTTGAATGCAGAATCCTCAAGATTAGAGGCTCATCCTATATGAATATGTTTCTCTTAAATACAGATTTTAAATCCTTTTCCCATACAGGCGTTCTTTGGGGCCTGTCAGTTGGTTGAGCATCACACACTGCACTGATGTGCTGGTATTAGCCTTCTGACATTTCCTCCAAAAGAGAATAGAGAAGAAAAAATAGAAATTGGGACCTTGTCCTGGAAACTCAGATGACAATGAGCATGCTATAATTAGAGTGCTTTAAAAACGTGAAAATGAAGCAAAACCTTTGCCCAGTGCTATTTCCGGAATAAGTGAATGACTATACATTCTGTGAATAAGAAAAGAAAAATACCTGGGACCTCTGGCCTAGGCTGACGTTTTCCGGCAGGGCGGCTAGACGTCTGTGCTGTTGAGGCTTCGCTTTCTTCTGCGGAGACTTCTTCATAATTTTATCCTCTGCAATACACTCTACATCAGAGTCTGTCCCTTCTGGGTTTCTCTTCCAGCCTCTGTGGCTGACAGAAAGCTCAAAGGAGGCAAGAGATTCCTGCTTCAAGTTATCGCCCCAAGGCCTGACTTTCTGAGTTTTTGTATTTTCCTGGAATAACAAAGAACATGTTTTCATTTTTTGGGAGCCAGCTTATTTATAATTAATTATCATTTCCCTCAAAACCTTATGACATTAGGCGATACTTATTACTAAGAAACACTTTAAAAAGCAGCAGTGTGGAAAACAGGCTTTAGCAAATATATACCACCGTAACAGCTCATTCATGAATTTCGTTCAGCAGAGGAGGCCTGAGCCAAGAAATCTTCTGATTCTGAGGACGCAGAAGACTACAGACAGAACATAGTATGCCTCGCAACAGAGGTTTACTTGCTTTTGGTTCCTATATGTCAATAACCTGGTGCATATATGTCAATATCCTGGCTAAAGGTTGGCTGGGGTATATCAAGCCTATCATCTGCCTGTTAAGAAATAAAAGTAACTAAAATTGCAGAGTTTTCCATGTGTGTGCACTCACGTTCGTGTGTGATTGGTATAACTGAAAAGCCCTAAAGGTCAAAAAATATTCTCTCTAAAATTTGAATTTTAGATAATAACAGACATTGGAGGAATATAATAGGACATATAGGAAACACAAGAAACAATGTAGGAATTACATATACAACATATTTCTAGGCAAATATAAATCTATAGACTGAATCAGTCAATGTCTCTTTCTATGTATATGATTACATATATACATATACACATATATAACCATAGAAAATACGGAAAATACATTAAAATATTTAAAATGGTCATCATTATGTAATGTATGGTGACTAACATACTAAAATTAAAAAAAATAAAAAATAAAATGGTCATCATTTCCAGAATGTAAAACAATGAGTGATTTAAATTTTCTTATTTATCTCTTACTTTATTTTCTAAGTTTTTCCTAATAAACATGTATCACTCTAATAAGACAAAAAAATAATGGCAGTTAAAAACATGTGTCAGGGGCGCCTGGGTGGCTCAGATGGTTAAGCGTCTGCCTTCGGCTCAGGTCATGATCCCAGGGTCCTGGGATCGAGTCCCGCATCGGGCTCCCTGCTCCTTGCCTGTTTCTCCCTCTGCCTCTCTCTCTCTGTCTTTCATGAATAAATAAATAAATTAAAAAAAAAAAAAAAACAAACATGTGTCAGTGCTTCACTCTCTGAACCTCATTAACCATGGTGACATTTGGCCCTTGATAAAGTCTTACCCTTCATATGGGAAACGACACAAATGGCTAAATCCTACTTTAATTACTCACCTTAGATGCTGAAGTTTGGCAGGTAGTAGTGAATTCAGTGATCCTACTTGTTGGTATAAACTGAGGCTTTTATGGAAAAAAATCATTAGATAAATGTAAGTAAAAATAACTTTCAACTGGAATATTACAATAATCCAATAATCTTCATTTCTTAAAGGAGTTTCAAGGTTGCACACCCTCACTGGTAATTGGTTAAGGGGTCCGTTTAGACACACTGCAACAACGTTCTGATGAGTGGTGAGTGGGTAACATAAAAGAATGCAATGGTTTGTCAAAGCATTATAGATCAGATGTCTCATGAGCAATTTCAGGGAACTGCTGTATCAAACATGCCTCCACAGCCCCTGTCTGTTTTTTCTGGAGACCCTTTGTTCCCTACTTGCAGGTCCCAGCATCTGGAATGAATCCTGACCTTCAGCAATAGCTCTGTCTAGTTCAGAGCTCGGGGCCAGAGCTTCAAGGGACTTTTGAGGGTAGACTGGCCTCAGCGGTATGCCTGATACCTGGATGATGCTTGTGCTCACAGGCACAGCTAGAGAGAGAGGAAGCATTTGCTCTCCCTGGAAAAGAAGTACCTTTTAGACTAATATTTTGATCTGATGATGTTCATGTTAAAATGATGAGATGTTAATGAAGTACAGTGAGAGAAGATAAAGAGTAATACAGGCCCTGCACCCCAGACTCAGGTTCATTCCCCTTGGGATGCGAGCCTGGTTAGGGGACTGCTTGGACCTCCTTTATGGTAGTACATCCATTCATATTTACTGTGCCACAAACACTCATGGGGTAACCAGCTCAGTGGCCAGATTCTCTAGGACATAAAATTTACTTTCCTCTTGTAAGTACCCTACCCCAAAAACTGGAAGTCCCAACTGATTAAGGGTTGGTTCTGCTCTCTGCTGAGAACTTTTCCGATGTGGATGGCCTGCACAGATTTTGAAATGGTGCCTTTTCCTCTGTTCTGAGACCCAAATGCCTCTTGGAACGTCCTGTAAAATGCAGGTATCTTTCCAGACAATCTTTTCAAAACAATTATTTCGCTTCTATAGCTGCACCCTCCTTCAACCAGTATTTCCTAATGCATTCCCTCTCCTGACTAGTGACATCACCAAACACCCAGACACCTAAGCTATATTAGCTTTGGTCCAACATCACCCTCGACCCTCTCCACCTAATCAGTGATGAACGTGTGGATTTCTCCACTTAAATCTCTTTTAAATTCAAAATTTTCCCTAGCCTCATGTCACCATATTGTTTTAAGGTTTTTATCATCTCTTGATTGAACTATTTTCTATAATCTTGTTTTTCTTGCTTTCTTCCCTTCCCCCTGAACCCCCAAAGGAAAATTAATTTCTTTATCTTCTATAACCCCATAGCATTGTTCCTTTTTAGATGTTTATGCAGATAATATATTCACATGGAATACACATTTTTTTTAAGATTTTATTTATTCGACAGAGAGAGTGAGAGAGTACAAGCAGGGCGGAGTAGTAGAGGGAGAGAGAGAGAGAGAAGCAGGCCTCCTGCTGAGCAGGGAGCCCGACACGGGGCTCGATCCCAGGACCCTGAGATCATGACCTGAGCCAAAGGCAGACACTTCACCATCTGAGCCACCCAGGTGCCCCGGAATACACATTTTTAAAAGTATATTTTTAAAAGGCTCCTTACTACTCCATTCTTCATTTGTCCAGTTCACCTTCCACTGCTATTATTTTTCTGTTTATCTTTCCAGAGATACTGTTTTAAACTCATACAGAAGCATATATAAGTTTTTCCCACCTTTTTTGAGGTAGGGAAAAATGGTAGTATATTATACATGCAGTCTGCATCTTGCTTTTACACTAAGGATACATCCTAGAGATCTTTATTAGTACTTAAAAAACTTCTTCATTTCCTTTTACAGATGCATGGTATTCTAATGTATTGTTGTACAAAAATTTATTTAACCAGACCTGCTGATAAACATTTAGGTCTTCTCAATATTTTACTCTACAAAGTATTTTGTAATGACATGTAAAATAGGTAATTTTGTAAATAATTAATTTTGTATTTGTGTATGTCTATATAATCAATTTCTAAAAGTGCAATTTCTGGATCAAAAGGTATATGCATTTGTAATTTGGATAGACACCGTCACGTTGTCTCCATCAGGCTTTTTGGTGGTTCAGCATATAGACATCCTTGTGAATATTTCAAGAACAGTGATAAAAAAGACATTCTCTATTTTGAGAGAGTATATATCAATTATATATACATTATTATTATATATTATTGGCTGTTTAGATATTCCTAGGTTGAGGGCCAATTAAAGTTTCCTATTACCAGCATGATTGACTCTTTTTCCATGTATCATTTGTAGGTTTTTGCTTTATGGAACTCAACGTTAGCTGATATGAGAGATTCATAATGGATACATCTTTATTATAAACTGAAGGCTTTAGCCTAATTTAATGCCCTTCCTTGCACATTTAATGTTTTTTCCCTTGAATTCCAAATTAATGTTAGGCTGGACCCCTATTTGATTTTTGTACATCTGTTTGAAATCACATGTTCAGTCTTTCTGAAATGCCATTTTAGATGGGTGTCTTCTAAACAGCACAGGATCAAGTTTTGCCTTGTGATGCAACCTCAAGTTCCTTGTTCTTTATTAAGGTAAGGTTTAGGCCATTTGCATTTATTGATACCATATATGTGGTTGGTATTAGCTGTCATATTATTTATTTTGTTTTTATAATTTCTCTGAAGTTTTTAATGATACAGTCCATTTTCTTTTCTTTTGTGTGGGTACCTCTTCTGATACTATACAGGGTTTTTCTTTTCCCCCAAGGGGCTACCATTACAATGATAATTTTATAAAACCCTTATTCTTAGTTCTTTCCATCTTTAGACAGTATCTATAAGTTTCCTACTCTGCATGATGACAAAATTTTTCTCTACCTTCTTTTCTTCCACTGTCTGATATTTACTGGTATTCTCTTTCTCCATATTTACATCAGTACCAAAAAGTATGCTTAAATTGCTTCAGTGATACCTCTTGATCTCTTTATAGATGAGGCAAACACATTACCTTTCACCTTCTATCATCCGTGACTTCTTTTTTTGTTAGTTGAATTATTTCTACGTTGCCAGGGAATTTACATTCAGTTTGGTACCTAAGGTTACATATGGTTTAGGCTATAGTTTAACTACAGTTATAGCCTATAGCCTATAGTTAAATATAGTCAGTGCCTATTTCCAGGTTTTTTGCTGTAGAATTTTCAGGTATCTCTTGGCTGGCTGAAGTTTGATCTTGTTTTCCTCTAAAAGGGATTTCTGGGTTTTTTTCCTGTTTTCAAAACTGTTTGTAGGCTTTTTATTTGAGGGGTGTTGTGGTGAATATAAAATTTTGGGTTTATACCTCCTTTCCTTGAAGGTCTTATAGTTCTTACTTTACTATCACCTAAGCAAAGTTTTCTGTAGAAAATTTGAAACCAATCTGATTTTTTTTTTGTCTCTATAAGTGATTTGATCTTTATGCCTACTCATCAAAACATTTTACCTTTTTCTGTACAGTTGAGTAACTTTTCTAGTGTATGTCTTATGGCTGACTATTCTTGGGATAGCCTATGTTAAACATGCAGTGTACTGTTTCAAATATGTAGCTTCAAGATTTTTTGTTTTTAATTCAAAGTTTTCCTGATTTATATCTTTATTTTTTTAATTTTTATTTTATTATGTTATGCCATACATCATTAGTTTTTAATGTAGTGATCCACGCTTCATTGTTTTCATATAACACCCAGTGCTCCATACAGTACGTGCCCTCCTTAATACCCATCACCAGGCTAACCCATCCCCCCACCCCTCTCCCCTCTAAAACCCTGTTTGTTTCTCAGAGTCCATAGTCTCTCCTGGTTCATCTCTCCCTCCAACTTCTCCCCCTTCATTTTTCCCTTCCTTCTCCTAATGTCCTCCATGCTATTCCTTATGTTCCACAAATAAGTGCAACCATATGATAATTGACTTTCTGTGCTTGACTTATTTCACTTAGCATAATCTCCTCCAGTCCCATACATGGTGATGTAAAAGTTGGGTATTCATCCTTTCTGGTGGCTGAGTAATATTCCATTGTATATATGGACCACATATCTTTAAAAATGTGTTCCTCCCTTACTTTTTCTTTCAATATTCCAATTATGCAAATACTGAATCTCCTTTTCCTACTTCTATTATCATTTTCTTTGTAATTATAAGAAGTCCTTCCTAATTTCTATTCATTTTATTTGCTTTTTATCCTCTATAGCAGGGGATAGATAGCAAATTTTTTTCTGTGAAGGGCTAGACAGCAAATATTTTAGACTTTGTAGACCACATAGAGTCTCTGTTACATATTCTTCTTTTTTCAATCATCCAACAATGTAAAAATCATTTTTAGCTTAAGGGCCATACATGAATAGGTAGTGGGCTAGATTTGGTCAATGGGTAATAGCTGACTCCTGCTCTATATCCCCATTGGGTTTATCAGAGTGATAATCTGCCTTTGTATTCTTTCCAGTTGTGTGATTTATTTTTTCTATTTCTTCCTTGAGTTCTACCAAATCATGTTTCATTTTCATTGTCTCTTGCTGTTTCAACATCTCTTCCTAAGTTCTTATATTTCTTCTTTGAGGTCTTCCTTCATAAAAACTTTTTTTTACTAAGTAAAAACTTGTTTCCAAATGTGTATGTAAAACTTCCTTCTGATCTGTGACAACATTTCTTTTTTTCCATTTCCAGGTGTACTGAGATAAAATTGACATACAGTTCATTGCACATAACTCAAGTGTACAGTTTGATACGATTTGACATATGTATAAAGTCATCGTAATAATCAAGATAATGAACATATTGATCATCCCCAAAAGTTTCCTTGTGCTCCTTTGCAATCCCTCTCTATACTCCTTCCTACTCCCTGATCTTTCTCTCAATATAGAATTTTCTAGAATTTCTAGAATTTTCTAGAATTTCATTTTCTAGAATTTTCTATTAAGTGGAATCATATAGTATGAAATTCTTTTCTGGTTTCTTTCACTAGGAAGAATTATTCT